CACACACACACACAGTCTCCAAAATTTAAAACGGTGACCTAAATGGGACTGTTTTCCATTTCATTTTAATATTGTTTAAACAAAAACAAAAATATCATACAAAAGCAAACGGTGCGGTGCACGTTGGTAGCACCAAGGGCCATCAGCTGCTGCCTCTTACTCTCCAAGACTTTGGACAGACTCAATTCTTGGAACATGGAGGCCATGAAGAAAATTTGGGGCTTAGAGATTCCTTTTCTTCCTTTCTTTGTATTCTCTCATACCTTCTTCTCATTATTGCTCTCCATCCAGAAGCCATTTCAGACATTTTTCCCCTAATCACACTTCCCATTAAATGTTCGTACACAGATATGCTGTGTGCTCTCTGTGCTTTATGTATAAAAGGAGTGTGATTGATCCACCGCTACCCCCAAGAATCAGGTTTGCAAGTTGCCCCACTGAGCACGCAAGCCTGGTGTAACTGAACTGAGGCATCTCAAGCCGAGTGCAGATCTAACTGAAGTCTGTTCTTTGGTCCTGTGTTTTCTATCGTGTCTGCCCCCCCCCAAGGTAGGGACTGAATGAGACAGGAGAGCTGCAGTCTGGGTTTGCATGCCCAGATTGGCTAGCAGGTGTGCAGCCTTCAGTAAGCCTCTTACACTCCACGAGCCAGCTCTCACCCCTACAGCAAGCTCACAGAATTGTTCTAAGCATGAAGTGAAACCAAGTCTAGGATAGTGACCGAGGGTTGGTGAACACTGTCCTTTGCCATCCAGATCCTCCTTCTGTGTACGCCTGGTCACTGGGAGTAGGCAGCCTTCAGTTGCCAGCCCCTTGGGGGATGACCACAGATTGCCCATATCTAATGGTCAATAAGGGAAGATAAAGTCCTATCAGCCAATAGGGAACAATCCTGAAATGCCACTCGAGCTGGCTCCAGGGGGTCCCTTGGGTCTGGCAAAGTTATTCCTGGCCAGCATCTCAACTCTTCTCCCTCTGCCCACTCCTGCTTTATTCTGCCTCCTCTACAAATCTGGAGTCCAAGGACACATCTGGATAAATATCCTACACACAAGACTCCATTTGGACGCTGCTTCCCAGGGAAACAGAACCTCCACAAGAGGTAACAGGAAGGTAATGCAATAATATTAGTGAGGACATGGTTCAAGCACAACCTTCTGAGGCTTCAAGCACGTGCACAGGAAGTTGTCAGCTGAATTTGCAGCTGGAATTGTGTACAGTCAGATCTGAATGTGCTTGACACCAGGCTTCCTGGCCTCAGGGACGCCGTGAAACATGCAAGTGACCACAGCAAAGAGCTCACAGTTCTGAGCCAGCCAGAGACCTGAACTCAGTAGAGAGCCTTGTTTAATGTACTTTCTCTACTTTTTGTGACCTATCCGGCCTTTTTCATTTCTGTTCTGGGAGATCTGTATAACTTCCATCTGAGTGATATGTCTCTCCCTTGCCAAGCAAGTAAATACATTCAACTTTGTTTTGGATCACTGTTTGATGATGGTTGCTTCTTACTGTGGCGCATCACAAATCATTGTGGGGGGAGGGGGCTCATCCTCTGCACAAGCCCACTGCCTCCTGCCACTCTTCAGTTCTCCAAGGCCTCCTGCTGGGGAGCCTGATGCACCCTCCCCACTCCCTTACCCCAGATGTTTCCATTTTGCCTACACAGAAATCACAACTATCATAGCAGTTATTATTTTAAACTAATTATAAGCCTTCCTAGATTCTTTACACTTATTATCTTACTTAGTTCTCAAATCAAACTCATGATGTATTACGATTCCTAGGATACTATGTTAGGAAAAGAGAGGTTACTTATGGTGCTTAAAGACATTCAGTAGAAAAAAATAATAATACAATAATAATATGATTTAAAAATAGGCAGAGGAACTGAATAGACATTTTTCCAGAAAGACATACCAATGGCCAACAGGTACATGAAAAGATATTCAACATCAGTAATCATCAGGGAAATGCAAATCAAAGCCACAATAAGATTTCACCTCACACCTGTTAGAATGACTGTCATCAAAAGCCAAAAGGTAACAAGTGTTGGTAAGGATGTGGAGAAAAGGGAAAGCTTATGCATTGTTGATAGGTATGTAAATTGGTGCAGTCACTAAGGAAAACACTATAGAGTTTCCTCAGAAAAATAAAAATAGAACTACCGTATGATCCAGCAATCCTACTTTTGGGTATAAATCCAAAGGAAATGAAAACAGTATCCTGAAGGGATCTCTGTACTCCCATGTTCATTATGGCTTTATCCACAACAACCAAGATATGGAAACAGCCTAAGTGTCTGTCAACTAATAAATGGATAAAGAAGATTGTTGATAGATAGATAGATATGAAGGAATATTACTCAGCCATGAGAGAGAAGGACATCCTGCCATTTATGACAACATGAATGAAACTTGCAGGCATTATGCTAAGTGAAATAAGCCAGACAGAGAAAGACAAATTATTATATGATATCACATACATGCAGAATCTAAAAAAAATATTAAATTCATAGAAACAGAGGCTAAAATGTTGGTTATCAGGGTTGGGGATGGGGGATAGGGGCAGATGGTCAGAGTACAAAAGTCCAGTTATAAGGTGAATAAGTTCTGGGGATCTAATTTACAGCATAGTGATTACAGTTAATAATACTGCATGATATACTTGAAAGTTCCTAAGAGTAGATCTTAAATGTCCTTACCACAAAAAAGACAGGGTAATTACGTGACAGGAGGCAGGTGTTAGCTAATGCTATGGTGATGATCATTTGCAATATATAAATGTATCAAATCAACACCTTGTGCACCTTAAACTTACATAATATTATATATCACTTCTATCTCAATAAGGCTGAAAAGTAAAGACACATCTAGAAAGTGGTAGAGCTGGGACTTGAACCCTTCAGGACTAAAATCCAAGCTAGGGAACTACTACACCATAAATTGTCTCCATCACGTTCTCATTCCTCAATGGCTGCTCTCAACAGTTTCTTTCTGTAATTAAAGGCAACCCAAGTCTCACAAGCCCACAAAATAAGCAGGCATGATTTACAGCAGAAAACCCAGGGTGACAGAGAGCCGGGTACAGGGTAGCTGTGTTTCAGGATGGACTGTCCTTTGCACACACTGACACTAGCCACCCTTCCTGCCCCTCTCCATGGTGATTTCAAATCCAATTTGACTTTCCAACTTAGTCCCTGGTACTCCTAGACCAGGGTCTTAATCTCGGCGTCAGTGACATTTGGAACTAGGTTGCTCTTTATCGTAGGGATGTTCCTATACATTGTAGGATGTTCAGCAGCCTCCCTGACAGGTGCCAGTAACACATCCACCCCACCTCCCTGTCATAACAACCAAAAACATCTCCAAACATGTACAAAAATCCCTTAGGAGACAGAAAACCACCCCCGGTTCAGAACTGCAGGCCTGGTCCTCTCTCCGGACTGGGCATTTCCCCATATTTCTGGACCAGATTTGACTTCAGTCTGATGGCTCAGCACCCCCATCTCAGCATGCACCGCCTCTTGTGTGCTTCTCTGTCCCAGCACCTTCCTTGGGAGGCTGGCCTCCTGACATCCCAGAAACCAGCAGTTCTCAGCCAAGTGGGCCCTGGCTCCTGTGGAAGAGATCCTCCCCCTGCCCTGGCCAGCCCTGCATTTTCACTGGTGTCTTCTATCCAGGGCTGGTGGGTCAGGAACCCCACCCCCTGCCAGAGTGAGGGACTGAACATGAGCCTCCTTCCTTTAGTATTTAGAGCTCCTTGGTGCCAAACCCACTACTTTTTGACTGGAGTTTCTCAGACTTCAGCTTCGCGTTGTTAAGTCACCTGGCATGCAGACCTTGACTATTTCATTCCTGCCGTGTCCATCAAGAGCTTTTTAAAAAGCCAGCACGAAGAGCCAAATAATAGGCTTAGTTTTGCAAAGGGTCATGTATATGGTCCATTGACACACCTCCAGGACCTGGCAAGGCTAGTGGTCAAACTCCAACAGAGCCTGAAAATGAATGTCCCAGTGCTCTGGCTCCAGGGCTGCAAGCCGCGATCCCGCCTCCCACCCCAGCAGTCAAGCCGCTCTCCAAGCCCAGCCCACCTCTTTCCACACCAACTATCTCATCTAGAAGATAAGAAGGAAAGGTAACATTTCAGCCCTGGAGAAAAGGTGTGACTGTTGATTGGACTCTTGTCCTGGATTTACTAATCCAGGCTGTCCATTTTTCACTTGTCAGCCTTCAGTATATCTCAGCTCTCAGAGCGCGCAGTAACGGGAAGGGAGAATAAACTTTGCCGTCACACAGGTCTCAGTTTCACTTTTACTGGGTGTCCTCAGCAAATTCCTTAACTTCTCAAGACATTCACTTTTCCTTCTATGTGTTGAACTATTAAGAAAAACTAGTTTTCATCTGTATCATTGAAAAGATTAAATAAATTAACGTGCAAAGTGTCTAGAAGCTTCTCATTGACTGACAGCTGCTGGGAGAAGTGGTACTGGTGCTGGTATTAAAAGAAGATGTGGTACATACACAATGAGATGTTACTCAGCGGTAAAAAAAAATAATAAAATAATGTCATTTGCAGCAACATGGATGGACCTAGGGATGATCATACTAAGTGAAGTAAATCAGACGGAAAAAGTCAATTGCCATATGATATCACTTATATGTGGAATCTAAAAAAGGACACAAATGAACTTATTCACAAAACAGAAACAGACTCACAGACATGGAAGACAAATTTGTGGATACAAGATGGGAAAGGGGGTGGTGAAGGGATAAACTGAGAGTTCAGGATTTGTAGATACTATTTTTTTATATAAACTTTTTTTATTGAGTTATAGTCATTTTACAATGTTACTAACTATTATATATAAAATAGATAAGAAACAAAGCCCTACTGTATAGCATAGGAAACTATATTCAATACCTTATTATAGTCTATAATGAAAAACAATATGAAAAGTAATACATATATGTATAACTGAATCACTATGCTGTACACTAGAAATTAACACAACATTGTAAACCGACTATACTTCAACAACAACAGAAATATTTTAAGTAAAAAAAGAAAAAGGAAATAATCATGTGTGTGAATTTCTTTTCCCCCTTAGACAGAGAGTCTATCTTAAATCTCTGAATCTTTTCTGACCCTGGGGAGCCCAGTCAGCCTAAAAGGAAACTTACTTGTTTGTTAGCTCCCTCTCTTAAGATTAGAGTTTCCTTTTGACTTAGTCTTTAGCATCTGGCTCCCTGTTCCCGCTTGCTTGAGAGGACCCTGCAAAATTACAGGAGGTTTCCAAGAAGAAAGTAATCAAATAGCACCTGGAGGTTTAACCCAAAAGTCTGCCATAATGACCCTGAAACTACTTCTAAGGTGTGTTACACGCACACACCAAAAAAATCAACAACAAATAAACAGCTTCTCTTCCTTCTGACTCCTGGAGGGAGTTCTGCCTCTGCTTCGGAGATGGCGATGGAGGTAGTTCTTCTACCCCTCTGAATACCATCAACATTGCTTGGAAAGTGTCTGAAAGCAAGAAATAAAACATTAATTGAGAGCCTAACATGGCCAGCACTGGGCAGTATGCATCATTTACAGTTCATCATTTAATCCACATGCAGATCATCTGTGCTAAGGATTATTGTTATTCTCATCCCAATTTCCATATTGAAAAAACCAAGACTTAAAGCAGCAAAGGAGTGTCAAAGTGTATATTCCAATTCCTACCCGTAATTTAAAATTCAGTATCCTTTCTATGACATCATGTTGCCTCTCAATCTTGTTTCTCCCAAGTCTCTTTAACACTGATTTAACAGAGCTTGAAAGTGGAGGGGCTTGCATGGTGCAAAAGGCTGGATTTTGTCATGGGCTGGATGGGGAATTTGATGTTAGGTACTGTGTTAAGTGCCCGAAAATAACTAGACATTTTGTTGGGGTTTTTTTTTTAAGACATTTCAGACAAAAAGTTCACAAAGGAAATACTAGGAAATGTTCATGAAAAGACAAATGAGTTTTCTTTCCTTGCCAAGATACAGCCTAAACTCCTCCCAGTCCATTGATCTCACATCTTTTGCCAACACTTGATTTTCTGCTTCAATCCTTTTGTTGTGCATCTCTCTTCCCCTCCTTCTCTGAGTCTTAATTGGCTTGAATTGCAAGTGTCAGAGACCCAACTCAGACTAGTTGAAGTGAAAAGGGAATTCCTTGGCTCACATGACTTGGAAGTCCATGGATCAATCCTGGGATCTGTCTTAAACTCCATGACTCCACCCTGCTGGCTTTATCTGCTGAAAGGTTCTCATATGCCTACACCCATCTCTAAATCTACCTCTTCTTCGTTTGGCAGTGCCAATGGAAATAGAACTCAGCTCTCAAATCCCATATAGTAACTATGGGAAAGACACTGGCTGACCCTGCTTGGGTGATGCATACATAGCTGTAGGCAGTCACTCTATCCAGAAGGATGGAGTGTTCTGCCTAGTCAGGGTCAAATGCCCCCTCTTTAGCTGGGGATAAAAAGCAGAATGATTTCCAGACCCTAACAGACCATATAGGTTGTGGGAGGAGGTCCCCAAAGGAATCAGAATAAGAGATATTAGAAAGCAGGCTGGAAACAATCAAACAAACATAAAGTGACTACCACTGTCTGCTATAATAATAAGTTAGAACAATCTTAAGATCATTACAACTTACCTAAGCCCTCTAAAACTCTCAGAAGTATTGCCACTTGTGAGACACAAATCGTTCCTGTTGTCCCACTGATAATCTGTTGATGGTCGACCCCCTGGCAGTCCTTCCTGCCCCTGCAACCTTCCTGCTATCTATGAACATTTGGAAGCCTGGGAACGGACCTCATTTCCATAGTCCCATGAGCAAGGTACTGCTGAGTATTATTCCCTAGCTTGTCTGTCCCATCCTGCCTGCCCCTATCAGGCTATAGGATATGGATTTTGTGGGATGCTGCTGCTTACTCATGAAGCTTCTATTGAGGGCCTTCTGGATGGTGAGACACAATAAAGCATTTTTGCTATGCCCTCAGTTTATTTTCTGGTTTAAAATAACCACAAAAGGTGTATCTGCAGTCTTTCACCCAAAACAAGTTGACTTGATGCTGAATGATAAACTGCAAAAATCAGAGGGGCATTGTTGTATAAAGCTCATTCCTTTAGAGTTGGTTCTGGTGGAGATATACCAGTGAGGATTATTTTAATATGAGTCATGATGAGCTGGATGTGAGAACTGAAGTGAAATGATGAAGAATGTCCAATTATAGCGGCGAGTACTGAGGGAAGAGTTAGTCCTATTATTCCAATAAAGCAGTGGTGATTACTAAAACCGTACAAAAGAAGCATCCATCTCATTGCAGTTGTAAAAAGAGATAGCAACATTTCAACCCAAGCTTCTCAAGTACTTCAAATCTGCCATTATAAAATATGGTGCCCAGGCACATGGAAGACAACATAAGGTGCAGATTTGCTTGCACCATTATACTTGATCTGCTCAACTAAGTTTTCCAAATACATTCCTTTTAATTGAAGTATAGTGGATTTACAATGTTGCATTAATTTCTGGTGTACAGTATAGCAATTCATATATATATATATATATACACATACTTACACATATACATGTATTGCTTTCTATATTCTTTTTCATTATAGACCATTACAAGGTATTGAATATAGTCCCCTGTGCTATACAGTCGGACCTTGTTGTTTATCTATTTTATATATGGTAGTTAGTATCTACAAATCCTGAACTCCCAATTTATCCCTTCCCAACCCATTTCCCTTCTGGTAACCATAAGTTTATTTTCTATGTCTGTGAGTCTGTATTTGTTTTGTAAATAAGTTCATTTATATCCTTTTTTCTTTTAGATTCCACATATAAGTGATATCATATGGTATTTTTCTTTCTCTTTCTGGCTTACTTCACTTAGTATGATGATATCCAGGTTCATCCTTGTTGCTGCAAATGGCATTATTTTATTATTTTTTATGGCTAAGTAGTATTCCATTGTATAAATATACCACAACTTCTTTATGCAGTCATCTGTCAATGGACATTTAGGTTCCTTCCATGTCTTGGCTATTGTAAATAGTGCTGCTATGAACATTGGGGTGCATGTATCTTTTCAAATTCGAGTTTCCTGTGGATATATGCTCAAGAGTGGGATTGCTGGATTATAGGATATCAAAAAATGGGGGAGGGAGGTTTATAGCTCAGTGATAGAGCACATGCTTAGGATGCATGAGGTCTTGGGTTCAATCCCAAGAAACTTCATTAAAAAATAATCTATAAGTCAAAAAAGGATGTATTGGAAGCCCCACTGAAAGTGTCATTCCTACACAGATGGTCCCAGCACTAAAGACAGTCCCAGAATCAGTCAAGGAAAACTGAATTGTTCAATGTCTTCTTCTTTGCTCTGGTTACCAGGGGGCAGAATTTCACCCTCAATTATTTAGACTTCACATACAAGTGCTTTCACATTTATCAGGTCAATCTTCACCACAACATAAAGCATGTGTTCTTATCCAGACGTATAAATGTAGAGCTGAGGGACTCGGAGGGATGAAGGTCCTTTGATGGCAGATCCACAGCTAGACTCTGGGTTGGTGAATTGCAATTTCAGTGTCCTTTCCCCGAAACCTCTATTCTGAGCCCAACTTGAGTTAGCCTCTGCCCTAGCCTCCTCCAGATCAGCATACATGCTATATTAGGCTACCACACTGAGATATACCAATGGGTCACCACATTAGGCCAGCATTTTTGGAGATTTTTAGCATCACTGATGTATGGAGTTGTTTCAATACTGAGCAAGTCTTCAAATGTTATAAAGGTGCTATGCTTCAATTCAATTCACTCTTCCAAACATTTATAGCATCTGGGTAATTAAGCCAAACTCATGTTTTTCTGGAACATGAGTTTTACATTATCAATATTGGAGGCTCAAAAGCAGCTCCAAATTTAGTGCTGAGGATACACCGAAGAAATGACTCTTTGGACACTGCCAGTTGCACGCTCATTATCATACTAATGTTGCCCCTGCAAAGCCCTCAGTGACATCCCTAGATATATGCAAATATGCATTGGGGAAAATGGAAATGTATGTAAATGACACAGAGGTTATACTGGCCTACTAACATCACAAATCTCCATTTACAGTCCACTTTTAATTTAAGTGATCTTTCTATTAGGAGGACCATTTATGAAGTTAATCTGGAACGAAATCTCAGCATGTCAATTAAAATAGTGTGACAGTGAGACCACCATCAATTGGTAACTCTTAGCAGATGTCTTAATTAGGCTTCTCAGTGGCAGGCTGACCGATGACACTCTGTGAAAGTCATTTTCAAGTTTGCATCTGAGGGCTCTCTTCTCCTTCAAACTTTTTTCTCTTGTTCTTCTTTCTCTTTAAATCTTAGCTATTATGAGGCTTCCCTTTGTGTACCTTTTTCCCAAAGATTTAATTATTTTTCTCATTTCTTCTTCCTGTGAGTAAGAATATTCCAGAGAGAACAGTCCACCCCCAGGGGCTGGAGCACTGTAAGCCTTGATTTATTTGAAGTCTTTTGTTTTATCTTAAATATTCATAGGAAATTTGCATCTTCTTTCTTAAAATATCCAGGCTTATTTTAATATAAAATTTTGCTTAAAATCATGTGCTGCCTAGTAAAATTGAAGCCATGCAATTCTGTACTTTTGTATATTCTTGCCCCACACTCATGCAACGTAGGGAGTGTTGAAGTGAGGCGGCACATCCCTCAGTTTCGAAAGCACAAGTTTCATGTAAAGAGAGTTTTGAAACCATTCAGACCTGAGTTTAAAACCTGGAACTACTATTTATCAAGCATATGACTTGTGAAATGTCGTATAATCCAGCCTGACCTCTCCCAGGCTACAGATTCTCTTTTTTGATTCCCCAGCTTTATTGAAATATAATTGACATATTAACATTACATAATCATAAGGTGTACAATGTGTTGAATTGATACACTTACATATTTCAGAATGATTACCACTATGCCTTTAGCTAACATCTGCATCAGGTCATTTAAGAGCTACTCTCTTAGAAATGTTCAAGTATATAACACAGTATTGTAACTATAATCACCATGCTGCACATTCAAATTCCAAAAACTTGTTCATCTTATAAGTTGAAGTTTATACCCTTTAGCCAGCATCTCCTCATTCCTTCCAACCCTCAGTCCCTGCTAAACAACGTTCTACTCTGTATCTATGAGTTCAGCTTTTTCAGATTCCACATATAAGTGAAATCATACAGTATTTCTCTTTCACTGTCTGACTTATTTATAATGCTCTCAACTCCATCCATGTGGTCACAAATGGCAGATGGACATCCTTCTTTCTCATGGCCGAATAACATTCCATTGTGTTACATCTTCTTTATCCATTCATCAGTTGACAGACACTTAGGTTG